TCATGTGAAACAATAATAGAAGAAATGCTGGTGCTCGACGCCACCCTAGTGCGCTTTCAATATGCAAAGTACCACAAAAGTCCGCTGAATAAAAAGAAAAGTCCCCTAGGAAATACAAAAGTCCGTTGACCAAGAAATAATAGTTGTCAAAATGTAAAACAAAAGTCCGTTGATTTAGAGAAAAGTGACATATTTGAATAGCAAAGTACCACAAAAGTCCGCTGGATAAAAACAAAAGTCCCTTAAGAAATAGAAAAGTCCGCTCAGAGTGCGACACTGATAGATAATATTAATTTGGGTTAAATTTGATAGTATTTTGTCCGCGTAGTAAGGTCCCTCTACTCTTCAGCGGACTTTTGCTAAAGTGGACATTTTCGGGATCTTTGACAGCCCTCTAGTGATGATGAAAGTATGTCATATAGGCAGATGTTTCAGAAATAAACATCAGCGTCATCGTCGTCATGTTGAAGATTGTCATTGGAAAGGTTCGTCGGTGATCGGTTTGTTGGAAATGCATCTATGTTGTTTGATTGTTGATTGTTTTCGTAGTTGTTGATATCAACAGTAAGTTTATTCATTGCTAAGACTAGCTCTGTATCAGTTAGGTATCCGTAATATTCTCTTTCGAATATTTCGCTGAGAGCGGCTAGTTCATAGTCATCGATGTCGTATGTGTCTGAAACGTGTGGAAAATGTTTTAACATAAGTTACGGTCAGGTTTGGGTGCATTAAAGCTTACTTTCTTCCACGCACACTTTATTAATTAGTTGCTCGATTATTATTTGAGCTTCTAGAAGTCTTTCATCATTTTCAGGATCGTCGCTTAGACGCATACGTTTGAATTGAACGACAATTTCGTCCTGATGCCCTTCCCATTGAGTGACTGCATATCGAACACCTGATTGTGTATCCTTCAGCAACGAACGATGATAGCAGGTAAAGAAAAAAGGGAATTTTACGTCTTTGGTGTTGTTTGAGAAATTATCCCAGTTTACTTGGCATATCGTTTTCGGAGAAATTACTAAAAGAGCCTAGGTTAGTCAGTGCGTTTGTTTTAGTTTAGCTTACGGTGTTGGTTTTTATATATTGAATCAGAATCCATGGTTTCCTCTTCCACCGACGATTCAGATTGGTCAATATTCATCTCTATTTCTGAATTATATATCATAGCAAGACCATACATGCGATTCTTTTCATTGATGGGCGGAGGATTGCAACCCAGTTGTTGCAAACGATCAAAAATCTGTTCATTTGACATAGACATGATCTAAAATATGTGAACTGTTGCTGAGTATGTGCATTCAATTCACGTTTTGTCAACTGTAACCGTGTAAATATAAGGAACTTCCTATTTTCAGGTGTTTCATATTTTTATATGTTTATTTAGAAAAAAAACTTTTACAATGAATTTTATATACGTTTGAGCTTTTTCGCTCGACGTTTGTCGACTATATTATGATTTTTACGAATAATGGCTACTTGAGATTTCCAAGAAGTGTTCGTTGTTTCCAAAACTTGAACAGTGTTTTTCTTTTTATTTCCTAGATTTGTGTTTTTGTCAATCAATGGAGAAGTTTTGCATTTCGAATTTAGTGGAGAAACCATCTGAACCACTTGTTTTATTTTTTCACTATGTGGCAGACTGACGTCCGATACTACGGGAGTTTTGTTTACCTACAATATTTCATTTCAAGTCTGTTTTGTTTTCTGTAAAATTATTACATACTATGTCAAAAACATGATTAGGTCTGACATGACAATGAGCCAAATTTTTCATGTGAAACAATAATAGAAGAAATGCTGGTGCTCGACGCCACCCTAGTGCGCTTATAATAGAAGCGTAGCCTTTTAGCCAGCTGAACATTTGTTCCGCAGCCTCCGTGTTGACATGGTCTAGGACTGAAATTCTAAAGTGTATACAATGCATTTATATATGATAACTTACGTCGATTATCAGCGGGATTCATATTAGTCAAGCACCATTTACCAACATGATTTTTGAAATGGGTCCTATCTACGCTAAATTTAACATCAAATAAAATTCTTGCTGCATCAGTAGCTTTTAAATCTTTTCCAATATGATTATGTAAATATTTCACCAGGTGGCAGCCATCATCATAACAACCCGCAGGTGGTAATTTGCCAGCAACTAAAATATAATATTCTTTCACATATTTTAATGCTATTAATTGATAAAACTACTGGAATAGCTTTGAATTATATTAGTCTATAATGCATATATCTATCAATCTGACATTTTCAGTTATAACAGCGACCAAAATATTACTCAAAGAAAATAGTTGTAGTATTCAATAAAAAGAGGATCCAATAGACAACCCATATTGACTTCGACTATTATTTTCTATTCCTAAGCATTGTAGCTGAACTTCTAAAGTGCAATAATAACACGTCTTATAATTTCTTATAATCTATAAAGCTATTGTATTTACAAAATTATCAAAACTACAATAGAATACAGTAACTAGATTAGTACACAATATTTAATAGGCACTCACCACGAATTGTTGAAAAAAGCAAATGAAGGATTTCACGAAGAGTTTCACTTCGAAAAATTTCACCAAAAGAAATAAATACTCGACAGTTTGTAACACATGCGATCAATCCAAATGAACGCGAACAACGACGTATGTACGCATCAGATTTTTCTTTATTGGTCCGACAACCAGTAGCTCCAAAGTTTTCTTTCCATCTTTTTCTTCTATTGCCATGATTCATCAACTTTCTTCGTCTCAAAATCATTTTGTATGACTTTGAAACTGTCGATGATATTTCTTCTGTTTGTTGTTGATCATGATGCAACAAACAGTAATGAGATTGAGGTATCGGACTTCGACAACATCCTATAACAAGTTTCTCGAATTCATCCGTTTCAACTCGAACATCTTTGTATTTGCAAACTCGACGACGACACTTCTGATGTCCGTCAATAATAACGGCAGCTGAACATGTACTATTACAAGCACCTATAATATTCTTATGAGAAGACCACAAGTATATAAACCATGAGAGCATTTTTGGATAATTTGTCCATGTCCAATCATCAAAATCTCGTAACAACATTGGGATTGCAACCTTGTGACATCCCATCGTTAAATGAAATTGCAAAATATTGTACATCAGTAGACATTGTGCAAGTCGTTTCCAACATAATGATATAGTTTGTTCTAAACCTTCATTAAATGCTTGTAAATTATAACTATCAGCAGTTTTCCACCACGAGCATGCATTGGTCACTATATTGCATGAATATGTTGATAAAACAGATCTGGCGAATCCATAGTCACCAGCAAAATATATAAATTTTCCATTATACAATGAACTCAACGAATAAATATGTTCATCTCCTATTCGTACAAAGTTTGGATAGTAAAAATAGCTTGGCGATTTCTTGTGCTCATCTAAATGTCGACATTCAAGCCAAAATACAGTTCCTAGAAGAAAAAAAACATTAAATTATGTTCACATGAAAATAAATAAAAACAATTTCACCATTTAATATTTTTCCTCGATCACATATAACTTTTATTTGACGGCTTCGACTGCTATTCACTGAAAGTTTTTTTTCGCAAAGAGTACAAATATCCGTGAACGGTATTAAATGTATGATATTATCGCGCAAGCCAATATCATCATCAATGATTGTTCTTTGAAAAAGTTGAACTTCAGGATGTGATCGAAAATATGCCAATAAACTTTGGATGATTCCATTTGTATGTGTTGTTCCGAAATTGTCTCGAAATGCATTAGCGATATTAAGATTACGAACAGGATCATAGATAGACCAGCGTCGATAAAGGTAAAACAAAAAATTAAGTTCACTTGGTAAAAAATACTGATACCACCATGCTAAACTTTGGATAATTTCACTAGACGTTCGCGAAGCATGGTGTAAGATATTGGACGATGAGCATGTTGTATTCGCGTTTTTCTAAATGAGTAAAATGGTTAATTTTAGTGCTACTGAATATACAAGTATCTGTCTACTATGTATTTAAGAACGCGTTTTTTATCGAATGCAATGTACTAATTTTGGATTACTTAGCGGAATACTCACATACGAAACTCATCATGTCATCGAATTAAACATATATATATATATATATATATATATATATATACGTATATATTTGCTTTTTGATCTTTCGAAAATTAAAATTTCTCAATGAGATTGATAATATGTTCATGATTTCATCAAAAACTGAACCTAGTTCGTATATAAGAAAAATTTGTAAAAGAGCATAATAGTCTACGTCTTATATCGTAGCGAAGCAACATTATAAATATATCTGCAAAAGCTTTACGGAAAATATATACGTTTTAGTGGAAATAGATTCTTTAGATTAAACTGTTTGATCTAAAGAAGCTAAAGAAGAACTCGAGTGTGTCACATTGTTAATGTTATTTGCACTATTAAAAATTTATTATTATTATTATTCAATTTTATATTGTGTATATTCATGCGAGCATACCAGTAAGTCATTTTTCTTTTTCATCTTGTTTTTATGAAGTTCTTTCTTATCTTTCATATTGCAGCAACGTGGATCAATGCTAATATAGTCAACAGTGATTCCATGAACTCCAGTTTCATGTAAAGGTAATTGTTTGTTATTCATCTAGAAATACAACGACAAAACAAAACTAATCAGCTTTATTTAATAATCCTATAACAGAAACTATTTTTTGCGGCGTAGTCTGCGAAATGGGGCTAAACGTTGATTTCAGAGCTACATAATCTTCTTGATTAAGGACAATATTTTTGTGATTTGCAAATGTAGTTTCTTGTACATCAAGATTATTATGAGTAGATGCATTGTCATCTTCGGTGATTGGACCTGGATTATTCACGATGGCATTTTCAATGGTATTACAGTTTACAGAGCCTGATTCAATTGTATCAATCACTATATGATAATTCATAATGCAAATGTTTCATATTATAGATACAATATGAAAAGATTACCGTTATTGAGATAATCGTTATTTTCAGGAGATTCACTTGCAACTGTTTGAAAATTACCTATGCAAAATAATTGATTGAATAGTTTTTGAAATTAATACTGTTTACCAGCGCAGAAATGCTTTATCATGTCACCAGACAAATGATTTGTATCTAAAGTAGAGTTTTCTAGATAAAAGTGATTTTGAAAACAGGTCTATCCATCACTATCACTCACCATTAGATATATGAGTCATTATATCATCGAAATTATTATTGCAATTTGACTCGAGATCTTCTAAACAAAAATGCTCTTAGAATAAAATCATGCTGGAAAAAATATCATTCGCACCTTCAACTTGAGACATTAACTCATACAAATCATTTTCTGTACTCCATACTGGATCAGCATCATGTGAATCGCCATGCGATGATATGACAGATTGAATAGTTGTAGTTACTAGAATATGATCATGATAGTTAAGTAGCAATTAACTTCAAAAACATGCAAAATCAATATCTTTGCTTTTGCAAAGTGATGGCATACCATATAAGGTCATGCTCAATGCATCATTTCAATTGTTATATGAAAACTATTTTCTATACTTTTATTTGCAAAACCTTTATTAAAATTAAGAATTTCACTTTTATTATTCTTGAGATACATACTAGTTGACGTATGTAATGAATTGACATCTTCATTTTCAATCGATTTAGAATTAGTATCTTCATTTTCAATTGATTGAGAATTAGTATCTTCATTTACAAATGATTTAGAATTAGCAGCTTCATTGTCAATCGATTTTGAATTTGCTATTAACACAAACAAGTTTTCTTTTATACAATGCAATTCACTCACTGGATCTTTGAAGAAGACTACTAGTGTCAAGATTTAATGCCAAATATTCCGGCCGTTGCAAAACACGAATTAATTCATCGGATACTGTTCCCTTCCCCTCGATGAGAAGTTCATGACAAGTATCTCGGTAGGTCTCGAAATTAAGTTCAGAGACACCTAGTTCACCTAATTTACATTCAAAATTCATTTGATCATTGATTGAAAATGGATCAGGCAATGCTTTAACATATATAGATGTCCATTTTGAACTGAATAAACCTTTCTTTACTATAAGAATAAAATCTAATTCAATTAATTTTTCTATTGCCGAACCAAGAATGCTGGCTGATCGCTTGATGACTCGGTCAGTATAAAGGCTACTAGATGTAAAAGTAACTGATCTAAACAGTAGCACCCGAGCCATTATTTCAGTCATGCGTGGTTGCAATCGTATAATACGTTTTTGTTTTTTAGATAATTGTTCATTGTTTTGTTCGTGTTTGCAAGATGTTGTCGATGACGAAGATGATTTGGTTTCTGAAAATTTTTCTTCTGGACTTAAATACATGAGTAATTTATATTGCTCGATGTTGCCAATAACAAGGTCACGACATCGTTCAACTATTTCAAGTGAAATACAATGCTGCATTTCGTCTTTATTGTTATTCATTAGATGGTCAGTATATAAGTTTTCAATACGATCGACAAATTCAGACGTAATAATACCGTTGCTTGGAAAATGATGATACTTTTCTAGATACTTATTACCGATCGAGTGTGCTAATTCAGCAATATATAGAAAGCCAGCAACTCGATGACAATTTTGCACACTTTTTCCCAAACGAGCTGCCATGTGGTCGTTGTTTTTTTCCACCACACCTATGAAAACAAAACTGATTTCTTTTGTCCGACATACAAAGTAAATAGAAATAAAAATTATTGATCAAGTGTCTCCATGATACAAATCAACTGGTTAATTATATGCTATTGGGATTCAAGGTAGCAATTGCTTTAATTCGTTCCTATTTCAATCACAGCAAGCAATAAAGTTTTCAAAATTCACAAAATAATCATTTTTCTCATGTCTTAATTCAATAAATATAATTAACAGTTATTATTATTTTACTTATGAATCTATTTGTTTTCTTTTCTTCTAAGCTATGGTAAGTAACAAAATATCTGGCTTCACGAATATCAAATAGGCCACATAGTTCGTACTACCAGAAATATTATATACAGCAGTAGCAGTATCCAATTTTGAAGCTTTATTGTCATTTTATTCTCTGTAAGTATTCAATGTCTACAACAATCGTTAACCATGAATTATTGCTAATCATTGTTAATATGGCATACAGTTGTTCTACTCGTTTAATTATATCTTATAAAAACGATGATCATAATTATACAAAATCATATAATAGGATATGCATTGAGAATAACATGTATGATCTATGTTAAAAATGTTCTATTCAATTCAGAGTGAACTTTACTTATGGTTCTAGCATCAAGTTAAATAGGAACATAATATAGAAACCTATAATATAGGCTTGCAGATATTTAGTCACGACGTATATCAAAAATATGAGACGAAATACTTTTCAGTTGATCTCGAATTAGATTTTCTCGAACAACCATAATCAATACTTTTCTTTTGTTAAATATCAATAAGAAATAAAAATGAAGGATAAATCTTAAAAAATTCCAGTCATTAATCAGGAACGCTAAAATGCTTAATTAGAAATAGACACAGAAAATGAAAACATTCATTACAATCGACGTTGAATAAAAACTAATAAAATGATGACATTCTCTTTCTAGATTATGCATGTTATCACTTAGAGAAGATTTATGCAGTATTGCTAGTGATCGCATATTTTAATAAAACTACACTCTTTTCACGTCAAGCTCTAGTGTCATGATCCTATTTTTAAAAGGTTTCTGCTGACGAAATCGTTTCGAATTCTCATTATCTCAAGAATTTTCAATAAAAGCCAAGACTAAATGCAGACAGAGTTATAAGCGTTAAGATACTTCGATCTAGGCATATCGAAACGAAATGAATTAATGCAAACTATTCTCATTATGTCATTAAAAGTCTTACTTTTCTTCTTCAGATCATCACACCATAAGATCATTCTTTGGTTGGCATCTTCATCAAAAAATATATCAATATTTGAAATGAAGCTAGCGACGACAGCAAATTGCTCAAATGACATATGCTTGCTTTCGTCGATACTTGTGATGCAAGAAGCAGTTGGTATTACGTCGCCGTCAAGTGGCCAAATCACAGTACGTTCAAATAGAGCATCGGCCATCGAGCCGGAAGCTTGTCGCATTAACGAAGAAATAATTAGATCACCTGACACCGCGCCCTATAAATTATTAAATATTTTAAAATATTAAAAAAGAACAATTTTAATATGTACAAGGACATTTAGCTTGGCATCAAATACTTGTACATTTTCATGTTTAAGCCGTCTTACGAAGTTATTAGGTCTGTCAAACAATGTTAATAATTGACTACGACAGTCATTTGTTACTGACCAATCTCGAATTCCTGGTGGTGGTAATGTATAAGCCATTTTTTTTAAAACAACGTCAGCCTCATCAGTTATTAAAAAACGTGTGCAGCCACGTAAGCTACTGAGTAAACCTGCAGGAGTGTTTTCGTCGAAATAGACGACTTGATCTGATTCCTGTTCATCCTTTGAGACTGACTTGAATTTTGATGTTCGATACTGAACAACAACATCGATGGCTTTTCTAACGAGATCAAGAATTGGAGATTTTCCATATGCTAAAATTTAGATGAATATATACATCAAAATGATTTATTTTCTGAAAAAACTCTTACAAGATCTAGCTACCACTAAGTTGTAAAAGTTCATTGGCAAGGCAAATTTATTAGCACGGTAAATGCTGCTATTTTCACACATCACGGCAATCACATTTAATATGCAAATAACCATCGCTTCATTGTGCATTTGATTGTAGGAAGCTAAAACATCGATGTGCTGTGCTAACAATGACGAAAAGCATACATTTGATGTAATTTTTAATTGACTTGCTGTGTAGAAATTCTTTTGAAATCGAGAAAACATTTTTATAAATACGATATAGATTCAAACGTTAGAAATGATAGTGTTATTATTCGTTTTTATGCACGTTTTATTAGAAAAAATATATAAAACCTCCGCACATCAGCCAATCGATGAAAAACAATTGTATAAATATCCAATCATTTCCCCGCTTGATTCATCACTATTTGTTTCAAATGATAAAGAAAACGAAATTACAAATAAATAATGTTTCGCGTTCTCAAAAACATTAAATCTAAAGCGTTCTTTATAATTCAGTTGTGTACATATTTATCTTCAGATTATTAATTTCACAGGTTTTCATATAATATTTAATTGTTCTTATTATGTAATGGTTATTTCTGTTCGTAGATCATTTTTCCTGTATACTTTAGCATTTTTCCCGTAAATGTTAACATTTTTCTCGTAGACTTTAGTATTTTCCATTTTTTCCTCTTTTCCTTCATATATATATATGTATGCGTATATGAATCAAAGCGAGACATTTTTCTCATACCATCGGACGTTATTCCTATTGGTGGAAATCATTTTTCCTTGATCTATATCATTTTTCCGTTATGTCAGCATATATATATACATATAGCTATGTATGTTACTGATCATATATGTAAATGGATGAACGTATGCGATGTTTGTCTTTTCATTACACATAACTCTTAACATATGTATATGTATGAATTTTACTCGCAAATGATATTCGAAAATAGATCTAACAGCAACAAAAATACGAGCAACTTCTCCGATTGACACTTTATCCAATGATGTCGACATGAGAAACGACTAATTTGTTTTTTTCAAACAAACCGTTAATCTAAAAAACAGTTCACAATCCTTTAAAAACAAATTATCATTCGATTGACTTGTCATCTTTTTCATAGAATTTCACTAGAGAATGTGTACCTCCTTTTTGAAAGTTAGACAGCAGCATACTATGAAATTTTGGCAATAAATGTACTGACTAAGCGTTGTGTTGATGTTAAAGTCAGATTTGATATCAACATAGTTTTTTCAATTGAAAACAATCGTTCTTACGAGTTCAGTATAAACGGTTATTTATTTTAACACGTGCATGTCCGAAATTCTCAATTAGATTTATGAATCGAATAAAGTTAAAATAAAGAATAGCTTTTTTTCGAGCTACGAATCGGTTTTATCTTGTTCCGTGATACATTGAGAATCTGTGTGCTGTGAATGTCGATGTGAATGCGAATGAGAAGAAGAGATATACTCATATATTTTAGGTGCATGCAATTATATATTAAAAAGATGTCGCTTGTCTTCTTTTACTGACTGAGACAAGCACAATTAAGAACTTTGAAAAGCCAGAAAAACATCGGTTTGAAATCGAAAATTTCTCTTCTTAAATTTGCCACTGAAATCGAAAAATAATAGGTAGTCGTAGAATATAATTATTTATTCGGTCCATTATTACAGAGAATGTTGTGAATATCGATCAAATCTCAAAATATATCAAATCTCTCGATTACAATCACCACGCAAAAGACTCCCTTTACAAAGATGTACAACGGCATTTATGGAAAAATTGGTTTAGACACTCAGACTTCATTCAAGAACAATATTTTACACAAATATCAGCTTCGTTCCGTTTTTAATTTGTGTTAAAACAAAAAAATTGAATGAATGAACTTTTTCTAAATAAAATTTGTGCACACTAAAACCATTTAGTCATTGTAATTAATTCGGTTCGGCTAGTCGACATATATTACTGTTGTAACCAATGATTAACATCATAATTACAGGAAAACAAACAAATAATTACAAGAATAATCGCAATCATCATACATGTGCATACAAACGTAACACTACTGATCTATTTTTAAAAAATATGTTTTTTTAATTGTTTTATTTGCACTAAAAAGACAAATGCTTAATTAAATTTATTAGAACAATTAAACAGGATGAATCATTTTGTAAAAATTGAATTTGTTGAGGACATGGAGAATGCAGTGGATTTCGAATACTTTTAATTCATTCCTATTCAACGATTGGCACTTGATTGCCCATAAATCTTAATCTTAATGTATCAACTACTTGTTCTTTATCACTCATAAACATAATTCGATCAATAAACAATATTAAATCATGTTTTGCAATATTTCCATTAAATATAGATTCATATGTATGAATATTCGATATTGAATCAGCTAATAAACTTAGCAGTTCAAGTTTAAATGGTTCATCATTAGTCAATAGTGATGAAAATTCAATTTGAAGAAGTCGTTTAATATTTGGTCGACCTGGATGAAGAAAAAGAAGCACGATGAATTTTTAATGAACTTGATAAAAGCATATTTTCATATGTTCAATACGATGAAAATTAAGTGATAAAAAATTATTTCGACATTGTCGATCTTCTAAGGATAAGGGCACTACATCTAAATGTTGATAGCATTCTTCATCTCAACAACAGGATCGACTTCCATTGAAATCAAATACTGTAAAATAGCAAGCGTTTGTGCCACAGAATGATAGAGAAATATGAAACAATTCATAAAGAATAAAACAAGCAATTATCTCGATTCATGGGCAAGAAATTGAATTAATTTAAAATAAGTTTTACAGCAGCAGAAAATTAATAAATTAATAAAAGAAAAATTATTTTTTAATTTTTCGTCATCTTACGACGTTTCGACAATTTTATTGTCATTAACAAGTAAACATAAATAACAAAGAAATCGCGTATATGAATTAAATAATTACATGTCTTGTTTTAACAATAATAGTACAATAGAAAGAAGATAAGAAAAGCTTGTGAGAGTAGAGTAGTCGAGTAAAAATTCGTAACAATAACAATTATTGTGAACTTACAGTATAAATGAGTAAAATAGTAGATATATAGAGTTCTAATGGTAAAATGAATGTAAGATTTGATGATAGATGGAAATTTTTTATGATCGATTGATAGATCATCAATTAAAATATATCAGAAGAAAACATTAAGTAAACGAGTGAGTAGAGATATACGTTTACAAGTGAATTATTATGAGTGCAGGAATTATGTATGAAAGTGATATTGATAGTTACAATAAACAATTAATTATAGTATATAGAAAGTATTACAAGTAATATGTATAACGAAGATGTAAGAGCAGTGGTATATTGAATAACGATAAGTGAAAACTTAATGTTGAGTCGATGTGAGTAGAACGTATGTAGTTGTTGTATATTGAATTGGGTTAGTTTGATCTTGTATTGATTTGTTGTCGTTTTCGTATACCTTCTGGGAATACGATCAGTGGAACGGATCTTGTTGTCTGATTTAAAATAGGTTGTTTTTCAACGATAGCCAGTGATTCTTTAATCAACAATTTATATGGATGTGTTTCTGTATGAGTTCTTA